CAAATCTCAATTGCACCGATCAATGGGCCAAACGACTTGTGCTCCATTAGCATAACAATACCCAAAGAAGTAATCCACACCTTTCAGCAACAGAGCAATTTCTTACTCCATGTGGACTACCTCTTTCGCGAATAACAACTCAATCATCCCATGATTCTCATATACCCATAAAGTGTAACATAGCCCGTATACAAAAATTTCTTTACTCGAGCCATCCTCGATCTCGATCTCTGCAAGTCATAACCGATTCACAAGTATACCCTAAACCGAAACCAATACAACACATAACCGTGCAATCAACTCGTCGATAGCAGACTCCCCCACTTGGCTCAAAGTAATGGAATAAAACTATTCTCGTCACATCAAGACAACAATCTAGCACCCCAATAGTCCTTTTTACATCTCAAACAAACTATTCTCGTCACAATCAAACCATCTGAATATATTCCGCAGTCACATCATACTCATAGAGTCACAAATTTCACTCATAGGGATGCTATCGGACATATAAGTCCAAAAGTACGTGCTCACACAACCGAAATCCCCATGCTCGAGCTATAGTCAAAACCCGATCTCAAGTCCTCCAGACTGGCCCATCATCAGCACACCAAAATCACATCTCGCACCTCATCCATGAAATCACAAGCCATCGATGCACAACTGATACTGAGCGCTAACATGTGCATACGAATGCGTGGAAGGAATTCGGAGAGTTACATTTCAAGCTCAATTAATGTCGCACGATAAGGAAAGAAGATGGGAAATTTATACTAGATGCCCTGTAGCCTCTCGAAGATAGGTATGGACGTCATCATACCGATATGCAAGACTCTACTAGACACTTGCTCATGACTTGTAGAACCTATGAACCTAGAGCTCTGATACCACCTTGTCACGACCCAAAATCACCTAGTCATGATGGTACCTAACCCAACCCGTCAGGTAAGCTAATTAAAAACTATCCAATTTAAATGAGATTTATTAAGAAAAGAAATGATAATAAAACTGCCTTTATACAAGAAGTTCCCAAGGACTGGTAGTACAAATCATGAGCTTCTAAGATTAGAATTTACAAAGCTGATATAAAAAAAATATATCATCTGTTCGAAATGTACATAAACAGATTTTTTATAAATCTAAGGCTACCATGAACAAGAGACAGCTACAACAGGAATGCAAGTACATCTTCAAATCCAGCTCTCGTCGATCATAGCAACATCAACATCCAACATCTGCACGCAAGGTGCAGAAGTGTAGTATGAGTATAACCGACCCTATGATAAATAACAAACAACCTTAGGTTGAAAGTAGTGACGAGCTGGAACACAGGTCGGGATCCAACACCAATAGCCAATAACAGTTCATAACAACATAATGGAAGTAATAAAAGAAGTAGCTGAGAGATAAGAAGCTCAGCTCGTTCACAGTTCCGAGAAAATGGGCCTGCTTTCCAAGTATATCAGTGAAAACTTAAATTTTTTACCGAAATCACCAAAATATGAGTACGTTTTGTAAAATTATGATTTTTTCCAAAATCTTTAAATAGGCAAATATTTCGTTTTCAAATGGCATGAGGAAAATACATCTTTATGCCTACATGTCAATATGTATGAGAAGTCATGAATGACGTGATACCGTACAACATGAGGAAAAATACCTCTATGCATGTATGTCAAGTGTGCATGTCGAATGCGATACAACTTAGTGATAAAATCATATGCATACTCTCAGAGTATCAATTCACTCAATCCTCCCGGTCACTCAGTCCTCACAGACACTCAGTCCTCACAGCCACTAAGCCCTCACACTTACTCAATCCTCCCAATCACTTGGCACTCGCACTCAGTAGGTACCTGCGCTCACTGGGGGTGTGTACAGACTTCGGAGGGGCTCATTCAACCCAAGCACTATAACAAGCCAATCATAGCATAAATCAATATAACATGTTACGGCATGCAACCCGATCCCATCATAAATCCTCACCATCAGGCCCTGTCATCAATCTCTCCAGTCTTTCGGGCTCACAATGTCATGAAAAATCATCCCAACATGATGGTGTGATGTATTAATAAATGGTGATAGAGACTGAGATATGATATGCAAATGAATGCGTATGTCTGAGTATGTAATTGTAATGTAAGCAAATAATTCAATAGCGGCAATGACATCGGTGGGTCCCAATAGAATAAGCATGTGGCCTAGACATAGTTGCTAACATGAATCACAGCTCAAAAGCTCTAGTACGTAGAGATTTCATGGTTACAGATAAGATCAGGTAACTACAAAGTACCACAGAAATAACTGAGTCACAATTCACACTGTGCACGCCCACACGTCCGTCACCTAGCATGTGTGTCACCTCAACACCAAACACATAATACGTATAATCAGGGTCTATACCCTCAGCTCCAAGTTTAAAAGTATTACTTACCTCGAATAAGTCAGATCCAATACCGAGCAAGATCTCGCACGTACCGACCTCTGAATGGCTCGAAACTAGCTAAAAGCAACTCAAATACGTCAAATAAAGCCTAAGGAAATAATTCCAATTGATAAAGGTCGAATCTTTACTCAAAAGCCCAAAATCAACCAAAAGGTCCAACCCGAGCCCGCGCCTCGGAACTCGATGAAACTTTCAAAATCCGATAACACATTCAATTATGAGTCTAACCATACTAGTTTCACCCAAATCCGACTCTGAATCGATGTTCAAAATTCAAAAATTTGCTTTATGAAGTTTTAGACAAAACCCCCCAAATTCTCTTTAAAATTCATTAACCAATTGCCAAAAATGAAGATGAGTTCATAAAATAAAATCCAAACCAAGTGTAGAATACTTACCCCAATCCTTGTGATGAAAATTGCTTCAAAAGTCGTCTCAATCCGAGCCCACAATCTCAAAATATCATAAAAGAACCAAAAACCTCGATTTATAGCATTCTGCCCAGCATCTTCGCTTTTGCGAACAATTAGCCGCTTCTGCGGCGTCGCTTCTGCAGAACCAGCTGAGAACTCGACCCTCGCACCTGCGGACAAAATACTCACTTCTGCGACATCACAGGTGCGAGCCACCATCCGCACCTACGCAATACCTCGCTCATGCACCCCATCACTGCGCACCTGCGCATACGTATTTGCACTCCAAACCTCCGCTTATGCGGTGTTCCTCACCTAGCACTCATCTCGCCACTGCGACTCCTTCGTCACTTTTGCGACCATCGCACTTGCGCAACCAGCCGCAGATGCGATCACACCAGATCTGCCACCAACAATTTAGCCAAAAATGATCCAAACAAATCCGAACCTCGTCCGAAACTCACCCGAGCCCCTCGGGACCCCGTCTGAATATACTAACAAGTCCCATAACATAACACGGACCTACTCGAGGCCTCAAATCACACATAACAACATCGAAACGATGAATGGCATCTCAAATCAAACTTAAATGAACTTTGAACTTTCAACTTTCAAAACTCGCGCTGAAACATATCAAATCAACCTCGAATGAACTCAAATTTTGCACACAAGTCCCAAATGAAATAAGAAGCTATTCAAATTCCCGGAACCACAATCCGGATTCGATATCCACCAAAGTCAACTTTCGGTCAAACTTATGAATTTTTCAAACCCTCAAATTTCCAATTTTCGCCAATTTGTGTCGAAACTTTCTAGAAACATCCAAATGTAAATCCGGGCATACACCCGAGTCTAAAATCACCATCCGGACTAAATGGATCCATCAAACTCCATTCCGGGATGAAATTCACAAAAGTCAAACTTGATCAACTCTTCCAACTTAAAGCTTCAACAATGAAGTTCATTCTTCCAATTCGATTCCGAATAACCTGAAAACCAAAACCGACGATTCACATAAGTCATAATACATCATACGGAGCTACTCATGCCCGTAAACTACCGAGCGAAGTGCAACTGCTCAAAACGACTGATCGGGTCGTTACAATTAATTACTGATGCAATAGAGTTGATGGAATGCCTAGATTTTGTTTTGTCTAATAATATGTTTATGATAAGGGAGCCGACGCGGTTGTTTTAGGTGAACTTTTTAATTTCGAATTCAACAACTTAAAAAAGACTAGAATCCAGAACCCATAAGTTTTCAATCCTGGTTCCGCCTCTGTTCATGACCATACCACGTCTTGCAATTTGCATGTTTCACAGCCTTCTTGAAGTGAACGTACCATCTATAGAATGTTATCATGACGTACTGTTATATGGTTCCAGCTTCCAATTGCAAAAACATTCCAATTCAAATAATTGCAGACTTTCAAGTGATTTTTTATCTTTCAACCATAAACTCACAACTATGTTTGATATCCATATTTTTAATACATAAAGATACTGTAATTTGCTCTATTAGTGTATCTTTTCCTTTCTTCTAATGTTATCTCTCAAATTTCCTTTAGAGGGTTCTTACCTGTTTAATTTTGACATCTTTTATCTGCAGTAATTGCATTAGACATTGTGTACAAGGATACTCCTCTGTTCAAGGATCTAACTGGAAGAGAATACAAATGGGAAACTGTAGTCTTCATGCGGAAAAGAATACAAATGACTGAATGATTTCGAAATATTCATATTGCTTTTAGTTTGATAAGTGATTTTTTTACAGCTGGAGCCCGTGAGTCTAGTTCTCACCCAACTCTATGCTTAGCTATTCATTTTTGCTGTAGGAGATTGATGAAGGAAAGGCATAGATTTTGCTACAGCAAAAGGATTTGAATATTTGGCTTCACTAATGAAAGGTTAAGAGGAAAATTTCCTGTTCTTTGATGTGATAAATCATAAATAGAAGCTGAACTTTTCTAGGCTACTTCGAGGGAATATGTCACCAATACTTCTAGAATATTTGTCCATAGATATTATTGGGCAGTCATTGGTATAGACATAACGATATGCTAGTATTAAATTGGCATATGAGCATAAAGATCTGCTATAAAATCGGCATATGATTCTGGAAATAAGGTGAGGGGAATAACTAGTTTAAAAATGAGTGGACAAACTAATCTGTAATAGAACAACATTTCTGTTACAATAAGTGTACCTAAAGCACATACTTGCTACATATCATGTCTACTGTATGCAAAATTCTTAGTCCTACTTCATCATTTTTCCTAAGTTGTAGTACTTCTTGTTGAGATTATAGTGTCTTAAATCTGAAGATTTCTTTGTTGGAACAGTAAACTACATACATTTGTCTGAGCTAAACTTTTAGTCAAATAATACAGAAACGGTTAGAGCCAGAGTAATGCACCCCAAGAAGTAAGCACTGTGATCATCAAACTCTCCTTCGCATTATAGTTTACAGCAGAAGCAGAGCTATTGTGAAAGCCAAATCCCAAAATGCTGGTTGTCTTAGGTGCTACTGTCTGCATCGGCGAAGCTGAAATTCAAGAAGGCAAAAACATTGAACAGATACATAGAAACATTGATTATCAAAACTGTGGAGAATGTAGATTTCTACATGCTAGTTTTACAGTCTATAAAAACTTCATACCAGCAACAGTTGAATTGGTTTTTGTCCCAAAGGAAACTTGAGGTGTTGGTGCATTAGGAGACAATCCTTCAGAAACTGACAGTATGAAAAATGGGACGAATTAATAATGCATTGTAACTTTAAAGAAGGGATAATTTTTCCCTAACATTGATCTCTATTGTTATATACCTGAACAGGTAGATCTGTCAACATGCATGTTACAAAGAAGTGGTAACTGAAGAGCTAATGTGGTGTTGATAGGAAGAGAGCTGAGGCTTGTTTGATTGAGCAACAGGCAAAGACAACCTGGTTGCTGGTTATAGAGTTGCCTGAGGTTACTGCAACACTGATCTACCGGTGATGGCGACGCGCCTTGCACGAATGGTCCACATGGAACCAATTGTAACAGGAGTGGCCCACACGACGACACGGTGGGGCCTGCAGGTAAGTTACCAAAGGTTTGTGAATGGGTGGTAGGTACAAGAACAAAAAGAAGTGAAAAAATAAGAACAGTAGTAGTAGGATAAGCAGGTAGGAAATTGGAAAAAGCCATATTGTTGTTAACCCTTTAGTATTCTTTTTTCTTTAATGAAGAAATTAGGATAAGGAACTGAACTTGGTTTTTTACTGTATGGACTCTTATATGTAGAAAGTGAAGTGAATAAATTTAGTGTGAGCCACAGCATGCATTGAGTGTGGAACTATCATACATTTCACACACATCTTATTCTTCATCTCTTCCCAGTCAAAGAACCGATTGTTATGATAAAGATGCTCCACGCTTTTATCATTCAAAAAAATGAGTCATTATTTTACTTATTATTATCTTCATTGAGAAAAAAAAGACAGCTTGAAGATGAAGGACAATATTCACACAAATTGTTCATTGTTGTAAAGGTACAAAGAGGATAAAGACTACTCTCTTTTAACATCAAATTGAGAAACCATCATTAAGCGTCTGTTAGTGGCATCTATATATCTTTAGTACACACTATCTTCTCATAATTAGGCGCAATTGGGGTCAGTCATTATTGAAAAAGAGTGGGCGATACATAGCACCTCAGGATAACAGAACAAGTATTGATTATTACAATAAAGATAATCAAATTCCCTCCTAATTAACGTCATGTATAACCTTGGTTCTATCTGTAAAGCAAGAAACCTTGGTTCAAAGAAAATGATGTAGAATGGGTTAGTTTTCAATTTTCACCGGCAAAACTATCCTAGTTAGTTTTATGTTCCCAATCCAGCCTCTAGAGCAAGTAAATTTTGCCGCAAGGTGCTGATGTGTAATTTTTTTTATATAAACAAGTACATCGCATAAAAATATACGAGGAACTGTTAAATATTTATTTATTTTTTTGAAAAATTTAAAAAGCCAGCTCTCTGCCTGTTATTTAAGGGTTTAAATGAGTTTCTTTCAAGGGCAAATTACAATAAAAGAAAGAAGCCTTTGCAGAAAGTATTGTATTGGTACTTCTGCGGTATCTTTGTTGTATGATTCATCGATTCGGATAAAGCTGTTATTCCAATAAGAAGATCAAATAGATGGAAAATTCGCAAGTTGTATTCAGGTGTAGTGAGAGTATGCAAGTCTTTGAGTTGGGAAGTTGCAAAAGAGATACCTTTTTAAAAAGCTATGAAACTGTATGACTTGTCTCTTTAAATAAATGCCTTTACTATACATACATTTGCGTCTGCTTAAACACATGGTTTTCTACTTGTAAAGGCTGGTATTAACTTGTTTAAGGTAATCACCTTTGCTATCCGTTGGTAAAAACACCTTCACCCACTACCGTTAGGTACTAGATTCGAGTCACGCTGGAGGGGAAGTGCGAAAACACTATAGATTCTACTAATTTGAGAGAGATTTAAAAAAAGAAAAAAAAAAAGAAAAGGAGGTTACCCTCGGCTCACGGGCAAATCAACAAAGTAAATGATGTTGAAGGGAAGTCGATTCACAATGGTGAAATTATGATGGTTGAACCTTTTATAAACCACCGTTATATTTTGTTCCCGTTAAAAAGTATTTTGGGAAATAATCTCTTGCCAGTATTTTAAAGCACACCGGTTAGAATGTTTTTAAGACGCAAAGAATTCTGAAGCACCAAAAATTCAGACGAGCAGAAATCCGTCAGGAATTGTGGTAGAATGATGACGATCACCAAAATAGCTGCTAAGTAAAATCGTGCCCATCGTATTTTATACTTTTGACACAGGATTTTTCCCCCAAAACTTCTGTTAGCGGGATAAAAAAATCAATAGCGGCACATAAATATCATATTTATGTCACTCGCCAATATTCGAATGTTAGAATCCAACCATTTGAAAAAAAATAAAATTATTTCGGAAAGATTTATAACCCTTGTGCAAATTATATCGATCATAAATGTGCATCTCAGATTTAGTATTTTCCGTCGTAGCTTTGTTTTTTGTGACATACAGACATATTTATGTTTTTGTAATAGTTAAGTTTCCGTTAGAAAAATTAAGTTTTTGATTTTGGTGTAGTAAACAAAATATTGTGAAACAAATCCGCTGGTTGGTTTGACTGAATTTTATAATTACAGCTGCTTGCTTTTCCCATATTGTTCTTGGGCAAAGAAATTAAGTCTCTATTCAAGAAAGTTTCAAGAGAAACTTGAAGTATGAGGTGGATTACACCAGTCTAAGATATTCCAATACTTAAAAAGTTCAGATAATGCAAAAATATCAAGAATAGATTCACTCGTTCCAAGTCAGTTTTTATGCTACCTTGCTAAAAGCTAAGGAAATACTTAAATGGTAACCAAACGTAGATTCTTGAGAAGAAAGGTTAAGTGCGGAGGGGAAGAGTTTCAACTGTAGAATATGAATAATTAGACACCAAAAGGAGATGCCTTTAATATCAAACATATATAGGTCTTTTTAGAACAAAAAAGTGATGCTTTTCCCACGAGGTCAAGAATAACGAAGATATTAACTACCTCATGTGCAAATGCTCGTTAGGCAGGAATCAGATTCCAATTAATCGATAAGACTTGAAAAGGAAATGAAACAATACATAATCTTTCCAAATCTTGGTACTCCATCATCTCCTTCTAACTCCGAAACAGAACACTTTCCTTCTTCATGACTCAGAAGGTAACTATTATTTTCCTAACTGTGACACACCAGGATTCTCGATAGGAGGTTCTTAGTACTGAATTCATTGTACTTTTAAAATTATTGTTTCAGAATTTAATATTTGTGAAAATTTTAGTAATTTTTTACATATATATTTATGTTCAGTGTCCAAAATATAAAGTTTCAGTTGAACCTATTGCACAAAGGTCGCATACCCCTCCTGCCCTTGATTTATTTATTTATTTATTATATTTGCATTATTTTAATTGCAAGTTTTCACTGCCTAATGAATGTTCAAGCATGCAGTTGTTTTGCATGGTGATGAGGATTAACATAGACTGCAAAGGATGTTACATGAAAGTAAGCCGGGCACTTCTCACAATACCAGGTAAATTATGCTTCTTAATCGGATTGTTAAAAGCTGTTACTTAATCTTAATTTGATCAAATTTATAAGAAAGATTCTGAATTGACTTGACTGTTATATATTGGGGATTGATGTAGAGCTGGAGACAAGATTCATAGAGAAAAATCATAGCAGAGTAATTGTTTGTGGGAATTTTGTACCACAAGACGTAGCCATCAAAATAAGGAAGAAGACAAATCGGAGAGTTGAAATATTGGAGATACAAGATTTAAGTGGCAGTGATGAAAAACAAGAAGAACAAATGCCCTTAGTAAGCTCATGCTAATCAGAACATAATTTTGTACCACCTAATTGTAACACTTTTTGTTTATTTCTGTTAATTAATGCCTAGTCCCACTGGCTTTAGATCTTCTCATTTTGTCTAATGATTGAATTGTTGTGGATTTAAGTTTGTATATATTGATAATGCATTTGATTCTTATAATACTAGTGCATTTTAACTTATTATAACAGGCATTTATTTTATTTTATATATTGTCGAATTATGTTATGTCATAGAGTTGCTATATGTCATCTTAATCCGATAATACAAAAAGTTATACACTATCAATATATAGATGTTAAACTCATTCATTATAGGTGCAATTGCTGGACTTAATTCTAACAAGCTCAAATTTGGCTACTCAAAACAGTGAATTTACTTCTATTTGACAGTTTCTCCACTTCACATGTTTAATAGTATGAGTTACCAAGTACAATGTAATGTGGGTGTATCTTCATATGAAGTATAAGGGGTAGTACTTGATCACATTACTTGCATATTTTTTTCGAAATTGAAAGTACTAGAAAAAAACAAAACAAATTCAACTAAATTACAATGCTCTTGTCAAAGTCGATGTGCTTCTTCGTTTCATTAGGACTTAGGAGTGTTGTCAAAGTTTTTGGTGTTTTGCACGTCATCAAGTTCCCTTGTGGGATTAAATGTGATCTATCAATTTTTTCCCCATATATGAAAAATGAAATTTTCAATAATACGAAAGAAGTAAAATTTGGGCCTTTCATATGCTTCAATTAGAATATACTCATATAAAGAGCTTTCAAATGTTATAAGTATTATACAAGAATCAATCATAATAAAATACAACAACAACTCAGTGAAATCCCACAAGTGGGGTCTGGGAGGGTAGTGAGTACGCAGACCTTACCTCTACCCCGCAGAAGTAGAGAGGTTATTTCCGAAAGACCATCGGCTCAAGAAGACGCATAGAGACAATAAATCACATAAATCAGTACCATTAACAGAAAACACAGAAATAATAACAGGAACATAAGTACTAGAAAATAGATGAAAAGCATTAACAACAATAAGTAAATAAGGTCTGGTACTATAAAAAATGGAAGAATAGTATGAAGACAATATTAACCACTAGCAGTCTAAGACAAAACCTTATCAGACTAGTCTCACACCCGGAACGATGTAGAACAATACTCAACTACGTCCTAACCTACAATTCTAATGCTCGACGTCCACATTTTCTTATCAATGGCCATGTCATCGGAAATCTGAAGCCATACCATGTCCTGTCTAATCACCTCTCCCCAATAATTCTTAGGCTACCCATACCTCTTCTCGTACCAGCCAAAACCAACCGCTCACATCTCCTTACCGGGGCTTCTGGACTTCTCATCCGCACGTGCCCGAACCATCTGAGCCTCGCTTCCCGTATCTTGTCATTCATAGGAGTCACGCCCACCTTCTCCTGAATATCTTCATTCCTAATCTTATCCATCCTAGTGTGCCCACACATCTACCTCAACATCCTCATTTCTGCTACTTTCATCTTCTGGATATGTGAGTTCTTAAATGGACAACAATCTGCCCCATACAACATGGTTGATCTAACCACCGCTCTATAAAACTTACCTTTGAGCATCAGTGACACTTTCTTGTCTCACAGGACTCCAGATGCTAACCTCCATTTCGTTCACTCCACCCCAATATGGTGTGCGACATCTTCGTCGATCTCCCCATCCCTCTGGATATCTGACCCAAGGTACTCGAAACCGCCTCTCTTGGGGATGACCTATGACCCAAGCCTTACGTTCATGCCTGCTTCACTCAAATCGGCGCTGAACTTGCACTCCATGTATTCTTTCTTCATCCTGCT